CACAATCTAAAAACTAGAGTAAACCTGAGCAGCATTTCCTTTCAGTATAAATACGACTGTTCTTTTAGGGTCTTAGAGGTTCTAGAAAGCATTATTGAACATTATTGATCAGTTGGTTAAGCCCTGTCCAGTCCGACCTTTGAAATGAAAAAAAGCATAGTTCAGGGGCAGATGTACCCAGGAATGGTTATCCACTTAAGTTGACAAGCCTGGTGAGTAGAACACTAACAAGAGAAGCACCCAAAAGGGGCATATAAACTCTGGAAAGGCTGCAAAGATCCACAACCCTGACCTGGCAGTAGTCAGAATGATATGTGTAGAACTGAGTGGAGTTCTACTTTATCAATCTGGGATGGCTGGCATTCAGTCCATGAAAAGGACGGACATTTAGTACAATACTTCAAACTTATTGGGTGACGTACCAGCTAGTACCCGCCTTCCATAATACACTTTCAGCCAATCGTATCAGCGAATCATGACATTTCATAAGCTAATAAATTTAACTTTTTCCAAATACTGTCAAAATAAAAAATGCCCAGATATCTTTCCCACCTACAAATGCACAAAGTGCTTTCCTTTGCTTCTTTTTGAAAATGAGAAATTGTCGCTATTCTAGCTAAAACCTCCAGTGTAGCCATGTTTGTAATGCCCCAATAAGGCCTCTGAGACTGTCGCCATTCTTACATGTCCCGCCCCAAAAGAAAAACTGCTGGCATGTCATTAGTATGACTCGCTTGTTGTTCAGAGACAGATGTATTAGCAGGAGCCTTTCAAGATGGATTTCTTGTGAAACTTAAACTCGAATCTCGGACAATCCAGCTTGTATCGCAAGCATACCAGTCTGCAAAAAAGCTTTTCATTGCTAACTTCACAAATTGGGTTTTAAACCTGGTTGCTCTAGTCAAATTATCCATAGTATTGTAGTGGATCCAGCAAATATCAAAGAAGGTGCCTCGGCCGGATAAGACCACAATTTAACTATCAAATAACTGTTATGTGAGGCAGAGTTTAACTTTGCTTCTCTAAGATGTTTTTGAATGTTTGACTGCCAGCTATAATGTCTCACAGGAAAAGGTTTTTTATATTTGGTTTATTTGGTAGAGACAGATAAAGACACATAGCTCATGAAATAATATCATGGCTGTATCATAAGGCTCATATCTATGGATAATTGGCAAAACCTCTCCCTTGAAGTACTTTAAATAGTTAAATACAAAGCAAAAACAATTACCATGAATGCGATCAGAAATGTCTAGAAACCAGATAAAAATAACAAAATCACTTAGATTAAATAAACACATCCACTCGAAATTCAAACAAATGCAAGCCTCATATACACTTACATCATTTTGCATTTAATTTGTAATGGCCATACCGCTGCTGCTGTATAAGCCAGGGTTTTTTTTTTTTTTTCTGAAAGTGGTCAAGTCAAAGTCTTAATATTTGTGAGGGGACCATTCCTCTTGGATGCTTCCTCTCAAAGAAAATAGGTTTTAAGCAAATTGGAGCTTACAGTTTCCACATGTAGTAGCTGTGGTTGATCTGGAGGTTGCCAGCCTGCTAGGTAAATAATGACTCATTTATTTTACTTCTGAGAAATTAGGGATAAACAATTATACCTGTTACAGCTACTACAATACCAGGAAAATCAGATTAAAAATGTTTCACAGCTATTCCTATTTTCCTAGTAATGTTTAGATTAAATGGCTTTTCTTAAACATATAGATCAATTAAGTAACTGCAGCAACACACAACAGTATGAGTATATCAGCAGGATGACATTGAGAGGAACAGGGTGAGCAGAAGCTGCTTGGCCCTGGATGTTATTTGCCCTGCTTAGAAAACTCTTGTTAGTTTTTGGATCTGTTGAGTCTGACAGAGAAACAGTAGTCAGGAATAAGACAAAAAAGGACTCTCAGAAGAACATACACAGTGTTCCTGCTGCCAATTACCTCAAATACCACACTGATGTGTGCTTGCTGTTGAACTTTCTCCCTGAAATGTCAAGTTTTTGTGTGGAAACAGAAAGTAAACAGTGTTTGACACCGATGGCTCCTTCTAATGACTTCAGGTTTGCTCTGACTCTGTCCTTGTGTTCCACTGATTGAGCTATTTCTGTATTGTGTACTTTGCTTTTAGTCTATTTTTAAAATTGTCTCATCTAGTTTAATGCTGGCTGGTGTTGAACCGTCTCCTTTTGCAGGGCATCACTTTTCGTGTTCTTGTTGTCGGCTTTTGTGCTCTGATAACCAGCAGGAAGCTGACAGGTCAACAGCCTTCCTCCCAGAGGTAAGAATAAGCTGTTCACTAAAAATAAAAGAAACCTCCAACAATGGTAACAAAAGCAGGTAAAGGGAAAAGTGAGTTTGCAATCATGCCTGTTGCATATTATGGAACACCCACACATTTCTGGATTAGTCCATCTCATTATAAATGTTGTGGCTGCAGCTATGCTTGACCTTGAGCTCCTCACTGCCAACGTCATCTTTTTTTTTTTTCCTGTTTTAATTCTGTCTACCTGAGAGTAGAAACCTAAATAAATGCCCTATCGTGTTCGTTTTATTTTACAGTGCCTTGCAAAAGTCTTTAAATATCTTGAACTTCTTGATAATTTTTCATACCACAGTCAGCTCAAAACACTGAATCTAAAGGTATGGAGTGTATATCCATCCATGTAGATAATTAATAAACCGTTCAATCCATCACTGTCTAAATGTAGAAGTAGGCCATAGCGATGCTTCGCAAATCTTTCTTTTTTTCTTTTAGGTATTTACGGCACTAGTGCCTTGTTATATGTACAGTGGGCTAACAGGAGAGAGGGAGAGAGACTCTCGGCAAAGGACCACAGGTCTGATACAAACCTAGATCGGCCACGTTGAGGACTAAAGCCTCCGTACATGGTTCATGTATGCTAACCACTGTGTCACCAAAGCACTATGACAGCACAGGCCCTGAATGTAAACAAAATGGAAATACTCCCACCCCCCACCCCATCCCAGTAGGTTCTTTATCTCAAACATTTTTAATGTAATTAAAGCTGCCTGAACTAATCATAGATAAAAAAAATTTAAAAGATTAATTTTACTTAATAGGTCAAAATAAAAATAAGAAATCAGGCACTGAGCCTCATCTTCGTTTATAAATCAAATATAGCTGGTAAAAGCTGGTACATAGCATCAGTGTAACAACTGATGCAGAGCAGCTGTTACAAAAGGCATAACAGCTTATTTTCTGCTGTCTCCCAATCAAGCATGACATAGTGAGGTGATGCAGCTTTGATTTTCCAAATTCAATCGTCTTTCCCTGCTGTGCATGACCTTCTTGGTGCGAAGTGATGCACAGCGTGGTGGTTAGCAGGAAGACGTGGGCAGATTCAAGTCCACTCGCATAAATTAGCCCCCCTCTGTCCCTGCTTCCTTGCTCCACAGGGTTAAGCGTACTGGAGCATCTTAGTAAGTATGCTCTGCTGTAAATCTTGTAGGGAATGTAAGAGTCTTGGTAAACAGTACTGGGCTGTAACCTCTCCAAGGAACTGGGAGTATCAGTGTGTGTGTGTGTGTTGTTGCACTGCGTCAGTATGAAGACAGTGTTGCTGCTCTGCTGACACGGGTCAAAGCGGCATGGCGAAGCAGGATGAGACAGCAGTAAATGGGGTCAGGGTCGCTGACAGCAGAGGAGATTAAACTAACTACACTAGTGACACAAAGCTTTGTATTTGACAAAACAGCACATATGGCACTTTGGTTTGTGCTTGTGTTGTCTCTAATGATGTAAGATGTTGTAAAAGTGCAAGAGTAAAAGCAATGATGCATTTTGATTAGCTTATTGCTTATAAACTTGATTTAAATGTCAATTTTCATGCTGAGAACCTAACAGCGTGTTAAAAATCTGGGGGTTTTTTAGCGTTTACTTGGAGTTATGCCAAAGAATATCCAGACTTGTTTGGCTTTTAACTCTTAATTCTATTAGGATTGGTGCCACAACTTATACGAAAGTGTAGCAGAAAATTGAATGTTAACATTTTTATTTTATTTTGGTTAGGATTATTGTCGTCTTGCAACATTCAACTGTTTTAATTATCTAAACCAAACTGTCACACTTAGATGGAATAAAACTGATTAGAATGTTCAGGAACAGCCGAAGAACCACTTAGGATCAAATCTATACCCTGGAAGCCTCTAGTGTCATTTCCACAGTGAAGCATAATGAATGTATTAGCCTTAGAGCGTGCCAACCACTGGGTTGGAATGAATAAAGTAGGATTGCAATCAGTTTGTGGAATGCAAATACATCAAACCTACAGAAAATGTATCTTCTATGTTCAAAAACTTATGTTAGCCAGAAAACCAACATATTTTAATACTCTTTATGAGAAGAGAGGTCATGATCCAGCCAGTAATAAGCTGATTTCCCAACAACTTATAGAGGGACTCTTGAGACCACTAAGGATACATGTCTGAGACTGTGTGAGCCTTCATTTCTAAACTGGAGTAAAATCTACCTTTAAGAATTGCACCCAGTTGAAACAGTTTTAAATTCCAACATGATATCAAAATCTTGGTAATGGTAAATTTCTGCAATAACAGACTTTTACTGCTAATAATGGAAAGCCTAGTAATCTTAACCTCACATCTTAATTAGAGCAAAGTGACTTCATCCCATCCTCTTGAACAACTTTCACGCTCACCACCCACCAAACGTCACATCAGTGTTGCTCTGCTGTCAAAGAAAAATCAGGTTATGTATTCACCCAGATCAGACTCTCACAGGGTGAGTAACCTCACAATTACTACAGACACTGAAGGCAGCGGCTGATCCAAGCTCTGTGTGGGAAAAAAAAAAAAAAGAGAAAGGGAGAGAGACTGTTCAGCCTTGTACCCCTGGCCTGGTAAGATAAAGCCACCCTGAGGGTTGATTTTATCTCCAAACTTCTGAAAGACTCCTCAGGGTTTTTTTTTTCTCTGTGTTAATATTCTTTTTTTATGATTGTTATCCTGCAGTGAGCTCTGGCTCGGTGTCACACATGGCTCCCCGGGCGGTTTGGCTCCTGGTCGCGCTGTCCACCGTCCTGAAGCTGCGCTCCTGCTGGGCTTATACCTGTCCAGCCATCTGCCGCTGCAGCGCAGACACGTTTCAGTGCAGCAGACACACTCAGCTGGCCTCCGGGACCGCAGCAACATCTGTGCTGCGACTGTAAGTAACTTAACTGTCTGCTTCAACTGTCTGGACACTTAAAGACATCTCATAAACTTTTACTCTCTGCTGCGTCCATCCCCTCCTCAGCTTTACTTTTTAATTTACCATCACCGTAAAGTTTCTTTGAAAACGGATTTTATTTAACAAATGTAGAGTAATAAAATGAGACGTTTTTGCTGCCTATTTTTTTTTTTTCTGCTTTACTTTGAAAACATTGCAGCATGGCTGTGGATTTAACTGCTTTGCTCAACAATCTTGCAGAAGGCTCACCCGGCTGCCCCTGAAACACGTTCCTACTCATGCCTTCAAGGAACTGATCAACATAACCATAATGTAAGTGGCTTTCAAATGCACATATAAAAGGGACATTTAGAGTGTAAATTTATATTGAGTTGAATTGGATGTTTAGAGACTACAGTAAATAAAACACGCATGAGGGAATCAAAGGATTTAATCAGCATAATAACTCCATTCTCATGGTAACATTAATAGATGCATGTTGCTAGATTTGCATGGCAAATTACTGACCTTAAATGGAAAATTATTTAATATTCAGACTAATAATGAATGAGATTTGTGCAAATAGAAAGTCCACTAACTTCAAAATACACAAAAAACTGCAGAGGTGATCCACTGGACTTTTACTGTTTCAAAAAAAATTCAAAATAAATTTCTTTAGTCAGTTTTATCCAAAAGATTTTTAAGAGAAAATATAGATAAAGATATAAATTAGGTCAAGACTTTTTTAGAAACCTAAAGTTGGGTCACCAGATTGATTGATCCAAAAGCGAATGTTATTTTATATTTAAGAAGATTGTCCTGTTGGGAAATCCATTTAGACCATCTGACCCAATCTGTGACCCTCCAGGAACCAATAGGCACAGCTCAGCTAAAAGGCTGCAGCTCCACACATAGAAAAATAAAAAAAACATCATCAGATCATGTAAATATGAAGACCTTTTGATAAAAATTATGAGATGTATTGTGATCGCAAACACCATACAAGATGAAGGACACTAAAAGGGACACTAACTTTTTCTCAAATCCCAACACGTAAATGATTGAAATTTATGAAGTAATTGTGTATTCCAACAGGACCAGGAACAAAATCCTATCAACACAAATTTTACAAAAGGACAAAGCAAACTAATATTAAGCTCTTGGAACCAAGACATTAGCCCTATATAGGACATTTATGGAATTTAAAATGTTTTGGGTTTTTTTTTTTTTTTTTTTTTTTTTTTTTTTTTGAAAATATATTACAATGTTTGAATTGTATTTTTTCACCCTAAAATAAGAATGGGTCAGATGATTTATAATTTAGGAGTCATAACATTATAATTGAAATGATCATGAAGAGTGGATATAAACTTTCAGAGCAACATAGGTTCATGATAAACACATGTAATATTTATTCTGCAACAGGTATTTAAATCAGGTTTAAGATTGACATGAAGTAACAGTTATTTTATGAAAAAACATACACGGTTTAACATTTAGAGTGCGTTGAGCAATTTATACTTGACACAGACTCAAAACAAAATATTCTTATTTCGGTTTATGATGTATATTTGACAGATATATCAGTTAATTACTATTTTTTTAGATTATTTTTAGAGTCTAGTTTCCTTTATTTTGAAAGTATGTAGAAAGGAAAGTGGGTTACAAGAGAGAGAAGAGACATTCGGTAATGGTCAGTAGGATCAGCGGGACTCGAACCTGTGACAGCCAATATATTGGTCATGTCAACTCCACCCCTCCACCCCAATATATCAGAGAATTAATAAAATGAAATAAATAAATAAAATGAAAAAAAAATGTTAAGTCATATATATATATATATATATATATATATATATATATATATATATATATATATATATATATATATATATATATATATATATATATATATATATATATATATATTTCCTAAATGTTGATTCAGCTTCTAAATTCTTACGCTTTTAACAAAGAATCTTGTTAAATCTAGCAGATATAAATCTATATTTGCAGAATTATCATGTCAGACTACTTGCAATGAATCATTGATAGAAAATGACCTTATGAGAGGCTTTCGTGGTTCTGTTAGAGAAGATTAGGACCACCAACTGCCTCCTCAACAGTGCATCACTCATGTAGCACCCGACTGTCAAGTTCAAACGTCTCAACTCTATTATACACAGCACAGTCCAGCAGAAGAAATCCTCCCTTTATATCCAAGGAGTGACTTTAATGGAGCCCGTGGGTTGTAAAATCCCCTGGAGCTCGGCAGTAGATGTCTCAGCAGCATAATTACCCTCAGCACAGCAGCAAATCCACCAAGAAATGACTTAAAAGAACAAACCAGTGTTATGTTATCATTTTGTCATATTAATCACACAGAAGTGCTGCAGGGGGGCACGATCAAATTGGAATGTACTTGTGAGAAGACCAAGAGATGTAGTGGAGCTGAGGAAACAGAAGGGAATGCTTTCATTTCAACAGATAGAGTCAGATAGAGTTAGAAACTGGTGGTCATTTATGCAGAACACCCACCTGAACTCAGCTCTGCTGTGGAGAAACCTTGCCTCTAAAAACTAACCCGACTTTCTTTTTATAGAAACATTTTATATGTGGATTTTTCAAACTAAGCAGAGTGTTTTTCATTTTCTCTGTTCCTCAGGGACAAGCCTTATCAAACTCAGATACTTACTGTACTTGAGTCTAATCTGTTTAATGAGCCCAAATCTGTTTTAAAACAGCAGACACTTTAGGTGTTCTTACAGGGTCAAACTTAAACGAAATCCCAGTTGAACAGCTGCAGTCTTTTAATTCTTCCTCCACAATAAGTCTGCGTAATGGTAGAATGGGATGACTGTGTTTTTGTCACTGGTGATGCATGCTTGAAATGACTTCATTTAGATGATCATGTGAAGTAGCTTTTTATGACCAGTAAGGAGTCATTATGACACCATATGTAAAGCAATTAAGAAATGGGATAAAAGAAAATGGGATCCACAGTACAGATGGAGTACTTTAATTGTTTCTCAGTTGAAGATGGTCGCTGATGTAAGACGCACACAAGGTATCAGACGATTACAGTAGAGCGACAGCCGAAAATTATGATTGCAAGCTCAAGATGGAGAGCGTTTTGTGAAGTCAGCCATCAGAGAAGAAAGTAATCAAGGACAAACAGAAGAAAAGGTCTTGTTAACTTTGTAGCTCTTTGTCTTTGTTTAGTCCTACTTTTTAAACATTTCCACCTACTCCTTCTGACCCAAAAGCATCAGTTGATGTATGTTTGGAGCTTTTCCACACATGAGGTCCTGGCATGTGCGTGTTACTTGGCCTAGAAAACGTGAATTTTGTTTTGGGATGTTTCCCTGATGATCTGCAACAGTGCATCAATCATGTCTGTCCTATTTTTTTTACACTGAATTAAAAGTTAAGTATTCTAAATCAAACCTAACAGAGAGAAAACACATGCCATATTTACCACCTTCATCTGTGATAATTGAAGTGTGTTTTTTTTAAACTAATGACTGATGGAGAGTGATTTCTTTGCACCACAGAGAGATCTCCCAGAGTGACTGCATCGCAAAGATTCAGAAGCATGCCTTCTTCTCTCTCCATAGTCTGGCGCAGATGTAGGCTAAGTGACATTTTACCCTTCCCCCTCCCTGTATATCATTTTCAAATATGACGGGAGAAATAATTCATTTGGATGTCATTTAAGTTTCATTTCATTATTCTGTCAGTTACAAAGCAGAGAGTTTAATCATTTAGCTCCAGTGCAACTGATACATAAATATTTTGTGCGGATGTGAATGCTATTGTATATCAGACATTTGTAATTACTGATTTGTTTCCCAATTATTGTTTCTGCAGCTCAGTGCAGAATATCAACAGTCTGAGAGTCATTGAAAGCGGTGCCTTCACTGACCTGCCTAGGCTGGAATATTTGTAAGCCATTTTTTATTGCATGTTCATAGTTTATACATTTAAACGAGCAAGTAATTTTTCTATGGTTTCCAGTATTGAGACATTAAGACCAATGAGATTGTGTCTTAATGTCTCAATACTTTTTTTTTTAAGGCTAGTAAAAACATAGTATCAAATTTCTTTTTTGCTTTAATTTGCCCTATAAATCAATCCAAAATCTCAATCCTATTTCAATATAAAGTGGAAATAAAAAGTTTATCCTCAAAATCTTTATTTTTCTGATTTAAAAATATCTGATTGATAAAAAATCTTGAAAAGGTATGAGAAAAAATTTATATATATATATATATATATATATATATATATATATATATATATATATATATATATATATATATATTTAATCTCTGGTTAGTTGTATGGTACATCATTTGTTTTATGATTCTTTTGATCTATTCATGGCAAACTTTGTCTACCATGTTTCAAAACAGGAGCATCTCAAACACAGGCCTAACACACTTCCCAGACTTGACAACCATATCCACCCTTGCATCAAATATCATCCTGTGAGTATTTTCATTTCAAGTCTCAGCCTCTCTACACCTGATAAAAGTCCAGTTGGAAGTCATATAACTGCTCTCCTATTTCATATTTTGGACCGGAGCCATTCATTCTAAATTTTGTTCTATCAATGTCACACTGCCACCAACCCTGACTGATACTCTGTCTTACTGTGACACAGTTCAAACAGCTCATATTTGTATAAATATGCATAATTTAGTCTAACTGAGAATGGAGCCAAGCAGCCTAAATGAGCGTTATCTTCTCCGCCTGCAGAGAAATGGCAGACAACATGAGGATCGACATCATTCCTGCCAATTCCTTCCAGGGACTTACAAAGGAGTCTGTTGACATGTGAGTGCAAAGGCCTTATCCTCTTTGTTATTTCATTATCCGAGCTAAAGACACGATTTGTCACTATTTGTTTCACTGATTAATCTTACATATTTAAATGTTCGGCTCACTGACCATGGCAATACATGCATTTAGCAGTGAAAAAGTATTAATAAGACTGTGTCCTCTATAGGAACCTGGTTAGAAATGGCTTCAAGGAAATTAAATCCCATGCCTTTAACGGAACCAAGCTCAACACTCTGTAAGTACGGTAGTTTGTATTCTTTGACATTTTTCTAATGCTAATATGATACACTGTAGCACAGCAGCTGGTTTCGGTTAAGTGCACAGGATTTCCCTCTCTAATCAAAAAAACGAAGTGTACCAGTAAATAACCCTTATGTAAGACTAAACAAAGATTGTATGCTCTGTTGTTTTGTTGCCTTGTACAACAATGCTAAATGCTGATGAGGACGAGATGCGTACAGACACCCTGAAGTCTAAAAATAAGATTTATCCTCCTCTGTGCCAACTCCAGATAACAATAAGGAGATGAGTAATAGTCTCGGGGCAGTGTTCTTCATTTCCATGTCATCTTAAGTTTCCTTTCAAATTATTTGTTGAGCAGAAAACTGCAGTTTGAGCTTGAGGTTAGATATAATGCCTTTTTTTCCTTTTCTTTATGTGTTTTGCAGAATATTGAGAGACAACAGGAACCTCCATCATATTCATGAAGATGCTTTTGAAGGAACCACAGGTCCAAGTTATCTGTACGTCAACATCAACTATTTCAATAATTCATTTATTTTCAGCAGGATATGATGTTAAACTCTATATGTTTTCTAAATAAATGTAAAGTTTTGGGGTGGGCAGCTTTTCATCCAGTTAGTTTTTTTTCCTGTGAAAAGATTTACATTGTCAATACGTTTAGGGTCAACAAAATTACTATTTTCTAACCTACATAAATCTACTTAAAGGAGCAGCTATGTTATGCTACTGTTAAGCTGTTAGTTTAACTGTAGCCATAAGAAAAGGACATCTGATGTTCAATTTTAAGCTAAAAAAGGCTATCATAATAATTATAATGGACTCCTATTATCAAATGAAATAAAGAAAAGATAGGTTAAATGCTACTTTTCTGACACAACAGCTAGATCATCACAGTCCTCTTAAGTGTATACAATTTCTGGGGAAAATGTCTAAAAACTCTTAAACAATACTAACCTTGAACTTAAAAAGCAAAGTATCTAAGTAAAGATGTAAAAAAAAAAAAAAAATAAATCTTAATTTGAAATAATCAATTTAATGGGAAAGAAAATTGGTTGAAGATTAATTACTGAATATAACTCCAAGCCAAATACTAAAATTATTGGAACCTCCAACAAAACAAAGACAAGAATACAGAAATAAACACAAGAGTTGTACTTTATCAGGATTTCCTGTTTTGTTGGCTTATAATTATAATATGCAGTGCCAAGAGTCCTTCTACATGGACATTTCTGTAAAAAGAAAGAAAGTAGAAATCAAGTGAATTCAGTCCAAGACCAGACTGAGAGCACTTGAGATTGTCTCCTTGAAATTAATTTTTTTCATAAGTTTTGTCTTAATTTCAATGGTTAAGCTTCTGTTGTGATTGTGATGTAACTTTTGCTGCCTTTGACCTAGGACTTCTGTGAAAAAGAAGTTTTTAAATCTCAATGGGATTTTCCTGGATAGATAAAGGTTAAATAGAATAAAACATATATAAATGAATAAGGGACCAGAAAGCTCTCCTTTTGTTGTTGCAACTCTTCAAAATCGGACAGACAAGTTAGTTTAGAGAACGCTTTTTTTGGTCCAATTTTGTTATTATCTACAGTCAGAGCATTAATTAAATACCTTAAAACAGATGAAGCAATAAAAAAGTTGATTGCCTGAAGACCTTTTCAAGATCCTCATACCTCCACCCACCATGACAAGGTTGGTCAAGCTGCTACCTTGATAGAATAGCAGCTACGATGTGTTATTTAAAGGTACACTATGCAACCGGTGTTGATTTTCCAGCGAGGCTCCCCCCAGAGGGCGAAAGTAAAAGTGCACTGTCGTAAATATGCTCAGCTGTTCTCCTGGTTTCTCCGTCAAGCCAGGCGCGGTTGTTTTGAGCTTAGCAGCGAATGACTAATGCTGCGTTCACACTGGACGTAGCTGGCGCGACAGAAGCAGCGAGTTTACATGCAAAGTCAATGGTTGACGCGCGTCAAGGCGCAGCAAAAGGTCCCGCGGTGCGGTGCTGCGCCTGCTGCTCAGACGTGCAGGAGGCGCAGCACGTCTGAGCAGCTGATCAGCGCGTCGGGTGCGTTTAACGCAGGGAGAGAGACACAGCACTGATGATCACTCCTCTTAAACAGTTTATTGACGCCTAAATTAACTTAAAATGCAGAAATCTGCCGGCAGAATAAGCAGTTTGGATTATTTAGATGAAAAACACCTACCAGCTGCCGCGGTGAACCGCTGCTGATGAAGGGATCCATACTGTCGGCGCACCGCTGGTATGTGGGGGTCTGAGCGGCTCCGACAGAAAAAATATTGAAGGCAGGATAATAATCTGAATGAACTGACTGCACTGATGACGTTTTCAGGTGTATTTTCTCACTTAAACACATATTAAAACTACTTTATTCCCACTGATCACAGCAAATATAGCTGCAAGGCAGAGAAAGGATAGTGAAGCTCCGCCCAATGCGCCTCAGACACACTTTTGCACCGCACAGCCAGAGCAGCAAAGCTGCTTCAGCCGCGCGTCAGAACTAACTGGTACAAGCAGCAAAAATGAAGCAGCAGACGCGATTTTGCTGCTTTTGCTGCGTGAACGTAGCATAACTGCACAAAGATTGCCACTGTGCTAGCAACGAGAATGCTTTTAACTGGGGGCGTGTAGCAGTTCTCGCCTTAAAGCAAGACTGACTCTCACGAGACTTCTGAGCCTGTGGGTGCGGGTCGGTGCTCCTGCAGTTGCAAGTGCAGTATTTCCCCCACAGACCACCAGGGCGGCCGAGAATACCTTTGTTCAACCTGAAATGACTCATTTAATCATCCATAACGTTATGGAACACATTAATTAACTGAAAAATGTTGCATAGTGTGCCTTTAAATACACTTTAGATGGGTTTGGAAAAAAAAGATGAAAGTACTGTGAAAGTTTTTTGTGCTTTTATTACAGTACAATGCTTTCCCTTCATCATGCCTAACGTTGCATGTCACTGGATCCATGAATGTCTAAGTAATCCTTATAAATACTGCTCCCTGACCAGCAGCCCTATCCTGTTCTGAAAAATCTCCATTGGCATTAAAGAACAACGTAAACAACATGCCCACTTTCTCCAATCAGCATTCAATAATGTGAGGCACAGTGTGACTATTTCTGCCCAAAGATTAGATGAAGTGATCCTTTTCACTCCTCGTAATCTCTACAGTGACACCGACTGTTTGTTTTTTTACTGTTTTAGGTTGTAAAATTGTGTTTATTGGCTGCAAGAGGTCTCTGACTGTTCAACTTTGCTAAATAAGAGCTTAACACTTCTGTAGGGTGACATCATAAAATGAGCAGCACCAACACCAGGATTGCACTAAAGGCCAGTGTCTTCTTTCAGATTGGAATAAAACAGCTAACAAAAGAAACAACTAATATTTCATAACAGATGTATACTCTTTAGTCCCAAAGGTAGTACATAATTGTATATGTGCCTATGATTGACTTCTTTCAAACATGTGGGCAAACATACAGATACACTTTAGGGAAAGGGATTTTCTATTCTAAATATTTAAACAAAATAATCTTTCCTTATATACTCAGTCTTCAAACATAAATCCTGCATAAAACAGTTTGAATGAGCTGAAGACTCAAGGACAAAAGAGAAGATCCAGAACTTGGATGAGCTGGAGAGATTGTGCATAGATGGTCAAAGATGTCCTCTCACCGGTAAGGTTAAAAAAAGCGCTGAACTATTGCTACAAGGACGTATGCAACATATTTACAGCAGCAGTGCCGTTGAGGATACAGAACATATGTTATGACATTTCAAATAGCTTTAATAAAGTGGATTCTCTTTCACAGTGAGCAAACGTATTCAGATTATAAAGGTTTAATGTTTCTTCAGGATAAAATGTTTTTGAAGACCTTTGATATAGTGTTGAGAAATAAATGCAGTGGGAATAGTACAAACTGTCTGTCATCGTCTTCCTAATTTTATAACAGAAAAGCAGGATTTCTAACGAATGTTTCATAAATTATATTGTTGAATTATGATTATTAATATTGCTGTTTTTGACATTAATAATTTAAATGAGAGTAAAAAGGAGAACATTTAGACTGAATACTACATTGATATTAGGTAGGCATGACATTTTAAGTCACGCCTTTGCACTTGATATATGCTTAGTCACCACATATGCATAAACTGGATTCCTTTGAGCCATTAGCATTGCTCATAGTTAAACAATCACAATTAATTAGATTTAGCAAAATGTACAGAAAAAGATGGTAAAGTAAAATGTTTTGAGACTAAGTATGAAGAGTCCTGCATTCTTCTATACATCTGGTCTCCACACCTGGCTCTGCCTATTCTATTTATATGCATCTCTCTAATGAGAGTTCCTTTCAATTGACTGGCTTTATAGAATATGTTTGCAGCTCATCCTAGCCTAAAATAAACTCAGACATTCCCTGTCCATTGCATTGCTTTTTTTTTTTTTCGCTCTAACTGAGAAGTATATTGGAGTATGTTTTGGTATATCATGGGGCCTACATGGTGTGCCCACTACTAAAAACTTTTGGAAATGAAATAGTATTTTTTGTGCACATCATACAGTATGTTTCATAGCCACAGGTTTGTATCTTGTGGGAACAAATTAGTATTTTGTGTTGAAACTGTATACGTTTTATTCCCTTTCTCAGTTACCAAGCTCTGTACTCACCCTTTCTTGTTACCCATAATCCTTTTAGGCCACTCCTACTTTTATACCAAATTTTTTAAAGTTTAATTGAATATATAAAAAAAAAATTCTATTGGATATTTTCCGAGTTACAGTTTATATTTAACATCCATTCAATATTTACAACTTTCATTCAATATAAAGTTTCATACATCAAAGTTCATTGTTTGTTTGTTTCAAATCACAATTTTCCTATATACATACAGGTGCTGGTCATAAAATTAGAATATCATGAAAAAGTAGATTGATTTCAGTAATTCCATTTAAAAAGTGAAACTTGTATATTATATTCATACATTACATACAAACTCATATATTTCAGATGTTTATTTTGTTTAATTTTGATGATTACAAATGACAACAAATGAAAATCTCAAATTCATCATATCAGAAAATTAGAATATTACTGAAGACCAATAAAAACAAAGGATTTATAGAAATGTTGGCCAACTGAAAAGTATGAACATGAAAAGTATGAGCATGTACAGCACTCAGTATTTAGTTGGGCCTCCTTTGGCCTGTATTACTGCAGCAATGCGGCGTGGCATGGAGTCGATCAGTCTGTGGCACTGCTCAGGTGTTATGATAGCCCAGGTTGCTCTAATAGTGGCTTTTAGCTCTTCTGAATTGTTGGGTCTGGTGTATTGCATCTTCTTCTTCACAATACCCCATAGACTTTCTATGGGGTTAAGGTCAGGAGAGTTTGCTGGCCAATTAAGAACAGGGATACCATGGTCCTTCAACCAGGTACTGGTAGCTTTGGCACTGTGTGCAGGTGCCAAGTCCTGTTGGAAAATGAAATCTGCATCTCCAAAAAGTTGGTCAGCTGCAGGAAGCATGAAGTGCTCTAAAACTTCCTGGTATGTGGCTGCGTTGACCCTGGACCTCAGAAAACACAATGGACCAACACCAGCAGATGACATGGCACCCCAAACCATCACTGACTGTGGAAACTTTACACTGGACTTCAAGCAACGTGGATGAAGTGCCTCTCTTCTTTTCCTCCAGACTCTGGGACCTTGATTTCCAAAGGAAATGCAAAATTTACTTTCATCAGAGAACATGACTTTGGACCACTCACCAGCAGTCCAGTCCTGTTTCTCTTTAGCCCAGGCAAGACGCTTCTGACGCTGTCTGTGGTTCAAGAGTGGCTTGACACAAGGAATGCGACAGCAGAAACCCATGTCTTTCATACGTCTGTGTGTGGTGGTTCTTGAAGCACTCACTCCAGCTGCAGTCCACTCTTTGTGAATCTCCCCCACATTTTTGAATGGGTTTTGTTTCACAATCCTCTCCAGGGTGCGGTTATCTCTCTTGCTTGTACACTTTTTTCGACCACATCTTTTCCTTCCCTTCGCCTCTCTATTAATGTGCTTGGACACTGAGCTCTGTGAACAGCCAGCCTCTTTAGCGATGACCTTTTGTGTCTTGCCCTCCTTGTGCAAGGTGTCGATGGTCGTCTTTTGGACAACTGTCAAGTCAGCAGTCTTCCCCATGATTGTGTAGCCTATAGAACTAGACTGAAAGACCATTTAAAGGCTTTTGCAGGTGGTTTGAGTTAATTAGCTGATTAGAGTGTGGCACCAGGGGCCATCAATTTTGAACCTTTTCACAATATTCTAATTTTCTGATATGATGAATTTGAGATTTTCATTTGTTGTCATTTGTAATCATCAAAATTAAACAAAATAAACATCTGAAATATATGAGTTTGTATGTAATGTATGAATATAATATACAAGTTTCACTTTTTAAATGGAATTACTGAAATCAATCTACTTTTTCATGATATTCTAATTTTATGACCAGCACCTGTAAGCAGTTTATTAAGATATTTTTCAAATGAAAAGTTTGAAATGGGAATTTAAATCATTAAACAGACACTTTGAAATAAATAGGTATTTTTGCTTTAACATATGCTTAAAATTCTGATTAAGTCAGTCTGATTTGGTTGAATATATTTGGACTATAGCCAGAAGCATTATTGCCATTTCACAGTGTGTCTCTGTAAACAAACAGCCTAGACAAGAAAACACTGATTATGAAAGTGTTAGGCACTCACCCACATAAAAAGGCTTCTGATTAGTGCAAACTTTGTAAAATCTCTTATGATTTTAAGTTTCTTGAATTTCTAAGCATTTTTTTTCTTTGCATATGTTTGTTTTCTCATTTTTATGCTTAACTTTGATGACCCTGAATATATTTAATTCAAATAAAGAAGCAAAGAAGAACACTTCCTTTGTATACAGATGTCTTACCTCTCTTGATGACTGGCTTTCCAAGTCCAACACTTTAACCTTAACATTGCACATAATGCAAAGTATCGTTATTGTCAGTTTTTCCCCAATCCTCTGTGTGTGTTCTGTGTGTTTCAGGGATGTTTCATCCACAGTTCTTTGCTCCCTTCCAAGCAAAGGTTTAGGTCAAGTGCGATCTCTAAAAGCCACCTCTGCTTTTGCTCTCAAGAGCCTTCCACCATTAGAAGGTTTCGCCGAGCTGCTGGAGGCCAAGCTCACTTACCCGAGCCACTGCTGTGCCTTCCACACATGGAAAAGGAAACAAAGGTAAAGGACAAGCACTCTGAGAAATCTATTTAAATCTACATAAGCAAACCTAGCTCTGTCCTCTGAATACAAATTATCAGCCGGCCTGTAATTAGCAGTCCAGTTTATTGACAAATTCTTGCAAATTAACCTTTTCACTATTTTCTTTTACTTTAAAGGGAAAGTGCTTTAAGGAACTTTACAAAGTTTTGTGATCTCAGCAAATTAGGAATGTAAGTAACAACCAACGACCCAGTATTTTATCATGCACTTGCTTTAATTATTTTTTAAATACCAATTTTTTTTTTTTGTAACTTTACACCCACAAACTTCAACCTATTTCCTTTTAATTTCATGATAAACCAGCAACAAGTACAATTATTTAATATTGGTGTACCCAAAGCTATACGATGAAGGTCTCAGAGGTTAGTAAGAAAACATTTGTGAACAAACAGTATAAAGACAGAGAAACACATTGGAAATGGTTTGGGTGTGGAAGTGTAGCGCAGGGATAGTATTTAAAGCAGTGTTCCAGGCATTGAACATCTCATGGAATGCTGGAAGGTGGTTCTTTAATTGGATTTCCCAGTGAAATACAGTGAAGTTTGTGACTGAAAATGAACACCTTTAAGGGCTGCTACAACTACCCCTAAAGTTAGATGAATTAGAAACGCTATCAGTCCATGAAGGGAGAAATGATTCTTGAATAACAAAAAGGCACCAGCTATAGTTTTGTTTCTGATAATGTGTATTACTTGCTAAATATGAAAACACCATATTTAGTAATCAGTAGAAAGTTATCTGCTGACACTGAGTCTCTATTTTTCTTCTCTTAACTGTATCTGACTAGCTTCTTGATGTTTAAAATTAAAAAAACATATTCTTTGTGCATTCTTTAGGGAGCCCACTGATGATGGTATGAATCTTGACAACGACTTAAACTTTCAATACCAAGACCTTGAATTTGTTTGCCACAGCAGCCCATTTGTAAAGTGCTCACCAAAGCCGGATGCTTTTAACCCCTGTGAGGACCTGCTGGGTTTTCCCTTCCTGCGCTGTCTTACCTGGCTAATTACAGTCTTTGCTGTGGCCGGGAACCTCGCTGTCTTGGTCATTCTGCTTATAAGCCACCACAAGCTGACCATCTCAAGATTTCTCATGTGTAACCTGGCCTTTGCAGACCTGTGCATGGGGCTTTATCTGATGCTAATTGCTTTCATGGACTTCAACTCCCGTCATGAGTACTACAATCACGCTACCAGCTGGCAGACGGGGCCTGGATGCAGCACAGCTGGGTTTTTGACCGTGTTTGCCAGCGAGCTGTCAGTGTACACTCTGACCATCATCAGCCTTGAACGCTGGCACACCATTACGAACGCCATGCACATCAACAAGAGATTGCGGCTGCATCATGTGGCAGCCATGATGGTGGCAGGCTGGGGCTTCTCTCTCCTCATTGCTTTGCTTCCTCTGGTTGGAGTAAGCAGTTACAGCAAAGTGAGCATCTGCCTACCAATGGACATTGACACCATTGGCTCTCAGATTTATGTGATGGTTGTGCTTATCCTCAATGTGGTGGCGTTCCTGGTTGTCTGCTTCTGCTATATATGCATATATCTCAGTGTCCACAAACCGGAGCATTCTACTCGACACGGCGACACAAAGATTGCCAAGCGCATGGCAGTGCTAATTTTCACGGATTTCCTGTGCATGGCACCAATTTCCTTCTTTGCCATCTCAGCCGCCCTGCGTATGCCCCTCATAACTGTGTCCCACTCGAAAATCCTGCTAATCCTTTTTTATCCCATCAACTCCCTGTGCAACCCTTTCTTGTACACCATCTTCACACGCGCCTTCAGAAAGGACGTGTGCCGGCTGCTGAGCCGCTGTGGCTGCTGCGATGCCAACTTCAATTTCTACAGATCACAGACTCTGGCATCACAGCACACCTGCACTAACAAAGTGACCAACAGAAAACCTCACTCACTGAGCTTTTATGCTCATCACATTAAGATGAAGGGCTGCTTCTTAAGCAAGGGAGCGACATGATGGTCAGCGTGCAGATTAGAAACTCAGAGGCAACATCTGCTTGCTTACTTTGCAGCATTTCATTTTTAAGGTGGACTGTTAGCCGGTGTTATGCACTGCAAACGAGTATAAATCTCATCCGGTTTATTTTGAAAACTGAGGATTTTTTTTTCTCCATTTAAACCGAGGGACCTGAAGGTAAATAAAGTGTTGGATCCACCAAATAGGTGGAAACAAAAATTTTATTTAAGGATGATCAAAGCATGGCTGCAATATCGTAACTGTTCAATGAGACAAAGTGGACTCAAAAGTTAACACACTGCCTATTTTTCCACTCTGAATGTGATACATATACAGTTAACCTTAAAAGACAACCAAATCAGTTTGGGGGAAGCATATTTAAAAGATTAAATCAACCCAACTGTTTGAATACTTTTATTTAAGGTCTGCTTAATTGATCATTGTGGACCTTGATGCAATAATTGTCTGACCTGCAATAAATTTGGAAAAGTTTTAAAGCTTTTTTTGTGCTTCAGGTTCATAACATAGCCTTCAGTTAATGATTTTCCCGCAAATTTTATATATTTTTTGTTTTAAAGAATAGTCACCTAAGTTGCAATTTATTGAAAAAGTAACATCAGGCCAATATCTGCTAATTTGACAATGAAACAAATTTCCAGTATCTTAGTCAACCATATCACTCTCTTAGCTTTTAAAGCATCTTTGGCCTACAAAAAAGTAAAAATAAAATATTTTATATACACTATGGCTAATATTTGACCATTCCCCACAAGTGAAATCATAAAAATAAATGGGTTTAGAAGGCTGACAAGAAGGTACCTTTTAAACAGGAGAGGCTGCAGAAATTTTCAAATTATTGCATTTCACATTTCTGGACTATAAAGAGTTGGGCTATTGAATATGCAAGCTGGTTTTTTTTTTTTTTAATCCAATGTGAAAACCAAAGGGTGGCTTGGACCTCCTAAAATCCAATGCAATAATTTATTTTGATAAATTTGCACCAAATTAACAGTAATAATTAGTTTTTAAAATGTTTAATACTTTTCAAATGACTAACCAAAAAATTAAAAAAAAGTAATCTAAAAAGCAGGTTCAAAACAAAATGGACAATACAAGAAAGATACAATCAGTATTGGTACCACATTTTATACATATACCGTAAATAAAAGCCAGTCCTGAAAATACACCAAGCTCAGCTTTTTCCATGAGCCTATGGAAAAAGTCTGTCACCCCAATGTTTGTTGAAATGTCAGTAACTCTTGACTAACCATTCCCCTTGAAAGGTGAATTGTTAAGTTAAATCTTAGTGTTGCAATTTCACATGATTTTTCCTAATTTGGTCAGTCATCTGTGGTGAAACACCTGGTATTTCCTTAGGGGTGTGTATGTCTTAAAGATCCACTGTAAATTCCTTGATCTTGATTAAATCAATAGTTAAATTTGTGTAGAATACAAAAATGTAAAAGTCTTAAATGTTATTCAAAGATCATTTTTAGTACCATGTCAAGTTTTGTTTGCACTTAAGACATTTTGGAGACTGCAGTCATTATCAAAAAAAAAAAATGAAAAAAAAAAAAATGTGATTTTGTTTTATTTAACAAATAAAGTTGTGTTCATTTACTTTAGTCCTTTGTCTTTTCTCCACAATAACCAAGCAAACTTAGTAGTTGCACAGTCACTTTTCCAAAAGGTCACAGTTACATGCCAATTTGGTAACAAAAACTAATGCTTCCATTTTAATAAATGTATACTCCAGCAGATCTCTTTTCCTCAGAATTTAGCACCTTTTCAATGTTGCTTATAAGATTCCATTTCACAGTATAGCTCAACTTTAATTATTTCTTAGAGCACTAAAAGCTCTGTTCAATTGACATGTTTATTTGCCATCAACAATATCGTCTACACAGAGGCCACTAAACATTTGTTTTTGTTTAATTTGAATTATTCCTCTGGAACAATAGTGTTCTGCATATGGCAAGACTTAAAAATATTTAGCTATCAAATTTTCAAAGCTGCATGTCTTTCTTTCCAGCTATGAATTGAATTGGTAAATAGTTTTGTAAAAGCAGCATTTTAGACCACTAAAGGGGGCGCTTTAGTAGATTAAAAAAGAAAAACCCCTTTACACAAAATTGAATATCAAGATTTTATTGATTTTTATGATCATAAGCTAAAGTGAATAACGTTAAAATCCAGTTTTTCCAACTTATTAAAAATTATCCTTAAAAATGAAAAGTATGCCCAAGTACAGAAAAGTATGCCCAAGTACTGTATCATATACACAAGCCATACCTGGTCAGAGCTTCCTCCATTCAGCAGGTGCCTGCTAAATAAAAAGTGACATCACCACAGCACTTGGCAGGAGGTGGAAACAAAGTGCTGCAAAGGTTCTTTGTCCATTTGATAAAACAAGGGGTATTCTGATTTTTTTTTTTTTTTAAACTCCTTTTTGAACCTAGGGGTCTGATATGGTCCAATATCTGTGTGGCTTACCTTTAAACAAAGGTTTTAACTAGGTTCGTTTTAATTAGGCCAATAAATACACCCCTCCCAAGGCATGTTATTTAATTTAGAACACTATATTTATAAGTAAAAACAGGAGAAATCATACAGAACAAGAGAAAATATCTTCTTTTAATAAAATTATTTTCAGCAAATACAACATAAATCCATTTAATTTCTCTCAGTGAACTGGAGCAAGATTAACCAACTTAATTAGATTTTTTTTTTAACCTTTCAGCTTTGCTTTAATAAAAAAAAAACAAAAAACAAAGACTAACTGATTTGTCTCAATAAGCTTCTCTAAACTTTTTCCCATTCCAGAGTGTGCATCGCTTCAACCCTCCTTTTCATCGCCTTTATTCATGTACAATGATCTGCTCAGCAGATTTTAACCTCATTACCACTCTGCTTCTCCAATAGCTTTAGAGAACACATAGTCCCTTCCTCCATAACTCATCACTCCATCTTTCAGATGAAACTTCCAGCGATTTTTGCTGCGGTGAATCTGCAATACGAGGAAATGTTGCAAAAAAAAAAATCAAAGCTAAACTTTGTTCAAAGGCAAGAGTTCAAAGAGCATGGAAGTTCTTACTTTGTCATACTGGCAGACGATCACGTTATCCGTGTCAAAGAGATCCGGTATGTCCTGTTCGACAACATCGTCACCAGAATTAAGAGGGTCCTAAACATTAGGGGAAAAAAAGAGATAATGTACAAGAGTTGCCTGCAGAACATAAAATACTCTGAAGTATTTGATCTGATATTTCCAAAGTTTTTACTTGTCACAGATTAAATTAATAAACCCAAAGTTACTAAGAGATAAAATTTGGATGATTATAAAATGTGCGAGAGAAAAAAAAAAGTATTAAAACAATGCCCATCCTTAATCAACTGCCGCTAACCACAAACACCAAATTCAATATCACCTGAAGAAGAAAGAATTTGTTCATATAAAACCTGTCTAAAAGCATGAAGGGGGTTGATTTTTAAATGCAGATGAGAAAAAGTTATTTATATCCTTTAGTCTACAAAGGACACAGCCAATGTAATACTTAAGATCTTATTCCTTAATCTGTTGCGTTTTAAAAATCATGATTTAAAGGGCTTTGTGTCCATATCTGCCTTGGTGACCTCTTTGTAGCATCCCAAGCCATGTGGGTTTTGCAAAAAATCGAAGGCTACTTTGAAAGCAGACTAGGTCAAAACAGGGAGGTACAAATAAGTCTGATCAGTTTTTTGTTAAGGTTTGCTGTCAAAATTCAAGTCAAATGTGAAATTATGATAATTACACAGCAATTCAAGTTTGTGTTTTTGCATCATTAATTAGAAGAAAACAAAAACAGCATCCTGAAGAGAGCTCCAAGGCAAATATTTTCCCACCAACTGCATATCACCAGTGAAAAGCACACGTAGATAAGGGTTACAGGTCACCCTTACCTCTTCCTCCTCTGCATTAACGAGTTCATCCACTACTCCATCCTCACTGCTGGAGGAGATGCTGTTGCTGTCACTGCCGTTTTCCTCCTTCAGAGCTCTGATGGCTTCTGCATTGATTAAACCCAGGAAGTCATTCTCTTCCAGAGGAAGGTCCTCATCCTCCTCTGGGTCAGAGTTGTCTGCAGCACCATCCAGCTGAACAATATCCGACAGCTGGCTGTAGGTGTAGTCCAAGTCCAGCTTTGGAAGACATGGAATTGTAAACAATTTATGTGGTGCAGCCTCAAAGTAGTGCATAAGTTAAGTTGAAGTTTAACTGCTTTATTAAGTTCATGATTACAATGGAAGTGGTTGAAAATATATTTGTAGTGTAAAGAGGGAAATGTTTAATTACCCCAAGATCAGCACCAGCCTGGTTTCCAGCAGCTAGTTTCCTTGCCCTCTCAACTTTCTCCCTCTCCTCTTCAATTACTTCCTTTAGGATTTCATCAATGTCTCCAATCTGTGTCTTTTGTGCTAAAGCAGCCTCCTCTGCAGAAATCTGGTAGTCCAATAACTGGGTGCAGGGAGAAGGACAAAAGTTTACTGGTTCAGGTTGGGAATTTGCCTCATTTTCTCCCAGTGCAAGTTCTGCTTCTGGAGGTTGCTGAGGAAGGGTCTTCCCCTGGATCAGAGTTAGACCCGTCCTCGTTTGTGTGACAAAGGAAGGAGGAGCAGAGGGCGGCTCAGGCTCCTGAACCAGGACAGGATTCTGTGCAACTGCTACTGGCTGAGGCGCTGGCATTTCACTCCGTTCTGGAACTTTCTGGGAGACATTGGACACAGGCTGGTGTCCCACTGGAGCTTGAGTAACTACAACAGGCACATTGACTTTGTAAAGCTGACCTTCAGGAAAAAGGAGGAAGACATTTTACTCAAACAGCAAGTGCTGATTTAAAATCCTTGAACAAGAAAGTCATAAAGATTAAAGCAGTTAAATACCAGAGGCTGTCTGTAGAGTGACGCCTGCTGGTATCTGCACAGGGTACGCCAGTGAAGCAGGGAGGGAAAAAGTAGCAAGAGTTTGGGTATTGGTCTGGTCGAAAAGGAAATAGGATGCATCATTAAAAAATATATATAAATTAGGCATTCTATAAGAACAAAAATCCTTACACTATTCAAAAGGTGTCCATATGCAGTTTTTCAGAAAGTAGAGTTAAGCATTTTAGTGTTACAGTAATGGAGGAAAATTATTTTTCCTCTAGATTTACAGCAGAAACCATACAGCAATAAGTGAAAATTCACATAAGTGGTAGCTATAAAAAAAAATATGTTTGCCTCTCAGTGTAGTTAAAAAAAAAAAAAAATACATTTGATTAAGTCGTTTGAACTGTTGTAAAGAAGCATTTTAGAAGAAAAGGCTATACTTCGACATACTGACAAATATATACATGTATATATAAGTAACTAAACAAAAGACTCGAGTACAAAGACAAACATAAAATGCTAAATAAGCATATAAATCATATTTTAAGAAACTTAAATAATTAGTCAAGCCTAACATGCCTTTCATTTTCCTATCCCTACTGGTTTAACATTACATTAAAAGAATTTAAAAAAATTCAAATGCATAGGCATTTTTCAAATCCCACAAATCCATTTCATTTGATTTATATTAATTACTTTCCCTTTTCAAAGCTTTACACGTTTCATTTTTATGGTGGCATTTTGGATTAGAATTGATTTCCAAAGTGTCTAACTGATATTGCCCTACTTGACCGCTTTATCATTTGTGAAAGCAAACTTTCATTAAAAAAAAATAAAAATCAGACATAATTTGTTTAAGTATCACCATATTTAAAAAGGATACTACTTAAACATTTAACCAGCAGCAGATTTACTCCTTTGCTTCTTTACTTTGGCCTTTAACTCTGTAGATGAACTGTCGGATAACATTTATTCTAAGATATTGGATATCATTGATTCAGTTACTCCAATTAAAGTAAAGGTTATTTCTTGGAAGAAAAGTGTCCTTAGAGAAATGTTAAAGTCAGAAGTGAGAAAAGAGTTTTGAAAAGATGAAGGTGGTAAAAATCTGGATTCCAGGTTCCTGCAGGTTTTAGAGATTTCAGTTTCAGCACAGCTGATTTCAGAGATGGCAAAAGTACTCACTTTCCATATTTGAGTAAAAGTACAGGTACTTGTGTTAAAAAATACTCTGGTAAAAGTGGAAGTACTGATTAAACTTCTTTACTCAAGTGAAAGTAACAAAGAACAGGCTTGTAAATTTACTTAAAGTATAAAAGTAAAATTAGAAACCACTTTTTTTCATGCCGTTGCCTAAATTTTAAATGGATGTCTGCCAATAGGACTAGATCTCCGTTGTGTTCATTTTCAATCATCTCATCGTCCATACTACTATGCTAACGCCACCGCCACCAAGCTGCAATGATTTGAATTTAGTATTGATGACGTGAAAAATAATAACGGTAACTCCATTGAAATGATTCAAAACTAAAGTAACGAGCCAATTTTTTAAAATGTAAGGAGTAGAAAGTACAGATATTTGTGTAAAAATGTAAGGAGTAGAAGTAAAAAGTCACCATAAAAATAAGTAGTAAAGTAAAAATATCAGAAAAATAATAAAGCACAGTAACGAAGTATTTGTACTTCGTTACTTCCCATCTCTGGCTGATTTCCATTAACAGCTGATTAACAGGCTTTAAGAAAAAATAAATATCAATCCTTTGTTTTTATACAATCTTACTAATACCTATTATTTTGTTAAATGTATTTTTGTTTCCTCTTTCCCTGTGCAATGTACGTTTTCTCAAGGGTAGCACTTTGAATGTTTGAAATGTTCTATATAAATAACCTGGCCTTGCTTCTATGATGCAATGAAATGAGAATTCTTCACCGTGTTACTTTCATGTCTTAAATCGTCACGCACTGTGTCCTCCAGCCCCTAAATGCAGCCCAAAAAAAAAATAAAAACCGATCTTAAATTATTATAATGAGCCCATTAGCTCATAGGAAATTGATAGTGAAGAAGAGAGGAGATGGCTTAATCTTACTTTAAAAGATGATTGTTGCTTTTAACGGAAGATGCAGGAATTTTGCTGGCATTAAAATTTAAGCCAATTCAACATAATAAACTTTAAAATGTTGCTGGAAAGGAAGCTGCAGGGCAACCAAGAAATGGGGAATAAAATAATTCAACAATGAAATGAATTTTTTAACATAATTTTCCCCAAAGCACTTAAAAAAAATTTATCAAGAAAAAGCAATTACATAACAAACCCACACAGCTGAATCAACTTAATAATGCTCAAACATCATGGCAAGTAAAACTCCTGAGATTAGAATATCTTTAAAATCCATTTGTGAATTTCAAAAACTTTACTTAGGTTATCAAAGATATAAACTGACTTTTTTTTTTTTTTTTTTTTTTTTTATCCATTAGTTTCCAGAACCTTCCAGACACATTTTCTTATAAAAAGGTCCAAACAATGCTGGAAACCTTCATGCAAAGTAACCTCCAAGCTCGAGAAAGGTGGGTGCTGTGTAAAGTAATGCTACTGACAGTCTTGAATAAACTTACCTTGACAGGTAAACTATGGATGCTCTGACTGGTTGGGATCATAACAGGGGCTAGAAATGGAAAAGAAAAACACGTGATGCACCAAAAAAAGCAACAACAAAAAAAGCAAAAAAAAAAAAAAGAGGAAATATTTCTCTTTTATGCAAATCATAAAAGAGATTGTTTGATATTCTTTGCAGTGAAAAATAAAACCTCAACATTTAACTAAAAGACTAATGTGAGAGACAGGACAAGCTGGAGCTCAGTACCTGGAGGTTCCTGGTTCTGATCAGCCCGCGGGTAGTTGGCAGGCAGCTGGAGAACAAAGTCAGAGGAATTTATGTTGTTCTTCCTAAAGTCTTCCATTGCTTTGGACTGCATCACTTTAGTCTCCCAAAGCTGCACAGCAGAGACAGCAATAGGTCACCGCTAGGTGGCCTAACTTTACTGCACCTGAAAACTTCAGTTTACTGCATTACTTACATGCCTTAAATCATCCAGCACTCTGTCCTCCAGCCCTTCATCCAAAAACAGCTCCTTCATACTTTCAATCACATCATCAATGATGGACAGATAGAGTTTGGCCTGCAGAAATATTTATGCATAACAGATAATAGAGTGCTGCTGCAGCTTTCATACTTTTGATGATAAAAAGGCGTTATATTGGCTTTTTAAAAGTGACTTTGCTCACCACTGGGCCTGAGTTGGTCAGCATCTTTTAAATTAGACTGCGCAGATATAACTTTGACACTAAAGGCCTGATACGGGTGATCTAAGCTGATAACCCTCCACCTGCTCCTGAGGATGCACACAGCTGACAGCAATCATCAAGATCCAGTCCAAAGGGGCGGGACCCGATTAAGACCCTGGGCTGATAGACCCTCATACTAAGCAATTAAAAATCTTTTTTTTTTTTTGCTTTGTATTCTTCAGGGATGTCATGAATAAGATGCACAACATTTTTTTTTTTCTTTATTCTGTTTTTAAATCTTCTAACATGTTCAGATGTAAAGTTAATGCAGTGGATGAGTATTATTTATCCCTGTAACAACTTCTTCTGCTTGGGAGGAGAACTACAAGGAGTGAGCAAATCATAGAAAATATGATCTCATTCCATTATGTGCATAACATTTATTCCTGAACTGTGTTTATATTGGGGGGTGAATAGAATGGATTATATCTGTGCTTTTGCAGGGTGGCTAAAATGTGTTCTGCAAATGTTTTGGAGATATTTTCATTTCATTCTTAAAAATTCTTTGCTTTTTTTACAATATGAAGCGAGTGTAAGTTAATTTTTCATTTAACTATTAATGAGGAGTTACAATTTTTCCTCTCTGCAAGGTTATTTTATTTTTTTCCTTGTTTATGTTTTATGTTTAAATTTATGTTTTGCTCCTTACTGCTTAGTTACTGAAGGGCTAAGAACATCTGCTGTATGGCATATTTTTAATGTTCCACCGGGGCTTGTTAAACTAAAAATATAAGAGCTCGTAGCCCTTTTTTGTTTACAGTGGTGATACACAATGCAGGTTTACAGACGAGGTCAGACAGGACTCCGGGTACAGTGAAGTCTACAGACAACATTGTCTTGTGCAGGACAAATACATAAAGATGTGGAAGGAGGCTTTGGAGAAATGAGGAATGGAAATCGGGTGAAGCCTTTCTGTCTTTGTGAAAGAAGGACGGCTCCAGCAGTGGCTGGAGAAAAGGACACATTCAATTTTTTCCTCACTACTTGATATGAAATTAGACTTAAATATTAATGCTTTAGATTAATGAAAACAACTTTAATTATATTTCTTTTTAGAAATCAGTTTCTAAACAAACAAAAAAAAGTATTTATTTTAATATATTGAAACAACTGTAAACAAAAATGCTAAGCTGTTAAGTGGAGGCATACCTTAGCCTGCTTTCTTAGAATAGAAAATCCCTTTATGGTCCAACAATGGGGAAATTCTGGTGTTTACAGCAGCAAAAAGATTAAAAGAAAAATGGTCACACAAATGTGGACCTTAGAAAAATGTATACGAATAAAATAGTAGTGAATACTTAAAAGATAAATATATAATAAATAAAATACTGTACTGTAAAATGTTTTAACAATATAAAACTGTGCACCTGGAGAATAAATAACCAATATACAGCTATGGACATTTCACAGTAATGGATATTTGAAAACAGCAGCAACATCAGAGATATGCATAATGACAGCAGCATGTTATTTAACTGACTAAGGCAGAAAGTCTGCAAAATCAGCATGAATGCAACAACTTTTGTGACGAAAAACAAAAAAATCCAAAGGGATCGGTCAAGAATTAAGGCATGAAATTTGGCATGAAATGTATTGACCCCAGAAATAAAAAGAAGTACAGAATTAAAGCTGGTAAGAGAGTATCACTATCCACAGTGAAATGATTCCTGAAGGTGTTGAAAGGCTGCATAGGGAGGATAAAATTATCCCTCCAAAAAGATAACGGTGCAGCAGCAGCACAATGGTAGAGCAGGAAACCCTTACATAGAGGCTTTAGTCCTCAATGCAGATTTCTCAGGTTTGCTTAATGTCTTCAACCCCTTCCTGTCTGTTTGCTTTCCAATAAAGCCCACCAGTACCACAAAACTTTAGAAAAAAATAGCCAGTTCTCAAATCCACTCATGTACAAATGAAACATTTTGGAGAAATAACCTGCAATCAGAAGACTCCGAAATGAAGGTGTTTGACCATAACGACCATCATTATATTTGAAGAGAAAGGAGTGAAGCTTGCAAGCCTGAAAAAAAGAAGAAGAATCAGGCCAACTGTGAATATCACGAAGGCAGCATTATTTTGTTGTGCTGCAGAAGGGACTGCTGCTTTTCATAGAAACAGAAATAGCTTTATTGTCCCACTGTGGCCAAATTATATTGTGGCAGTGGCAATACAAGTAGTAGGAACACCAAAGATTAAATAACAACAATATAATTTTAAAACTAAACTTCACAACAGAGAAGAAAATCACACTGCAGAACGGAAAAATTACCGCGCAACTTCTGATTAAAAACAAAAGTTCAGGAAAACATGAGAAATTTTCAAAGATTTTTTTTTAAAGCAGCTATTTACAGAATGATGGAAATCATTCACAGGTTTGACTGTAGAAACAAACACTTCTGCAGCAGATAAAAAAACTGCAAGTAGTCATCTGCATCTTTAGTCATTAAATCCTTTATTGTGACATTGAGTTATCATCTTTAAAAAGATGATGCTTTGAAAGAAGAGTATTTGGAAATATTACATTAGCCAGGTAGTGGGTCATCTAAGCTCATATAACTCTGAGCACACCAGCAAGTTAGTGTCTATCATCATATGGATTATGAAGCTCTGAAGTTATTTATCCTTTGATGGGGATCATCATACTTCATTACTCATATTCTGGATCTTTAAGCAATTTTTCTAAATCTTAGTTTTTGTCTATTTTTACTACTTAAACTAGAACCACCAAGAATACATGCATTATATTCCATGTTATTATCCAACTTTAGCAGATGAGTTATTTAATTGACCAATTTTTTGGGGCTTTTTCAAATGAAAAACGGTGGTGAACTTCATCTGTCGTATCACTGCAAGCTCAGTGCAATTTCAGAACCTTGAGTGCCCAGTGCTGTCAGTTTAAACATCCATCCCTTTTTTGCAAAACACATTTATCCTTTTAAAACTTTATGTTGAATAGATGCATAGCAGAAGCATCCATGACCTTTGCTTCCTTGGAGCTGGCTGCTTTCAGATTTTGGCACTTTCAGGCATGGAGGTTGACATTTTCTTTGCTTAGGGTGAAAGTGCTGCAGCTGAAAGCAGCGACTTGAAAAAAAGTCTCTACATAGAGCAGTTTACTGTAGCTGTTACTTCGCTGCAGAGCTGCCCTGAGGTTTGCACTGTGGTTTGGCTTCAAATATAGAAAAGTGAAGATTCTTGTTCTTCACCAACACAGCATTATCATAACCATTACATGTTTATTTCATGAAAACATATCTTGGAGATAGAAGTTATTTGGACATTTAAATAGAATTAAGATCCATATGTGTTTTCAGTTTTTATTTATCGGTAAAATGATAAATCACTTTAAATAAAAGTCAGAAGAAACAAAAATTAGGTGGAAGAAGTGCAGAGGTGGAACACTAACATTGTCATTAACCCCTGTAGTGGCAGTATCCTTCTTTTCTTTAACAGGGACAGTCCTGCTTTGAAAGTTGAGGTTAATTTTTCAGCATAACAGCCTGAAATACACAGTCAGAACTACAATGTTAAGGTTTTAATAACAAAAAAATTCTCAAATTTAAAAGAACATATATCTGCCTCTTATAGCTAGACTGTGAGAAGCAGAGAGTGCCCCACCCAAAAGTATTTGCTGCTCTAACTGCAGATAAATGTTATTCCATGTATCACCTCTGTGTGGCTGACAACATAAGCCCATCAACTTTGAAGTTAAAAAAATAAATGTTTTCTTCCAATATTTAAGTTGTACTCTGCTTTGTGTTGATCCACTACCCAATAAAACACAACAAAGTTTCTGGTTGGGAGGAGACATGCCAAAAAGTTCAATGCTTTTGCCAAGTACTGTAGCTGAAAATGATGAATGGGTAAAAAATCCAAAACCTAAATGTTTAAGGACATTCTTTTTCACAAAGGGAAGAACTGGATGAGTTCCTGCAAGTTAAAGCTGCAGCCAGGAATGACTCATGGTCACAAGAGCCAAAGCGAAAACTGAAACGGACATTATAAAACGGCGGTAATCTGGCGAAACTGAGATCTGTGTGCAGCTTCTTAACCGCGCACATCCAGTCCCCCACCTTCCCCGCGGGCGGATTTAACTCGGGCTCAGATACTCACTCTCCCGTTCCTGCCAGCCACTTAACTTCACACCATGCAGCACTTCAGACAATCATTACTGGAGAGTTACATATAATCTGTTCAGCTGCGCAGCGTCAGTACTGGATGTCTCATCCTGTTATCAAAAGGTACAATCACAGAGTCAGAAGTACATCTCATTAAAGCAACTTTTCTTCTTTCTGTGTCAAAAAGATTTAAACTTTAAATTGCTCCAAAGTTTAATGGATGTAAAAAGTAATAAATAAAATATTATTTTTATAAACGTATGTAAATAACTACTCAGAGTCATTCAGGTTTAATTCACTTTTTATTCCTGATGCACATAATATCCAACTTAATTCATGTACCTTTTACATAAAAAAATGCCCCTCACCAATTCTATTAAGTTCCTTTATTACAACCGTTTTTCCCAGCCAAGAGGCACACCAAGACCTAAAAATAAAGATTTGATTTGTTTAAATAAAATTTCAGTCGTCCACAATGCAGCCTTCGTCTGAAGTCGGGTCAGTTCTGTATTAACTGATGTTAGATTAATAAAGACCATGTTAAAAGATGCTGATTAGTATAGAGAGCCAAAATTGCCACATTCGAATAGTAAATCAGGCCTAATTCCTATCAAATCATAATGGATACATTAAATAAATAAAAAAATTTTACTGACAAATAATGTAAATATAACATTATTCCTGTGAAACAGCCCATCAGGAATTTACTATCTTACTGTAGATCTTTGAATGCATCCTGATAACTCAACTGACCAACTGGCTTCCTTATAGCAGCTTTCGCCACACCAACTAAACAAGTTACCCTGCCTTGGAAATATTATCAATCATTTTTATTTATTTAATGTATATCTTTCCATTTTTTAAATCAGATTTATTTGTCAAAACATATATTTAACTCTGTGAATCAAATTGTGGCA